CTTGAGGCATTTGGAAAAGAATATGAGGAACAGCGTTAAGCTTGCAGTTAGCAACGTTGCGAAAAGGGTTCTAATGGTCGAAGGCGTTGGGGATCTCCATCCGTCAAGGTTTTGTGAGAAAGATTTGCTCAAAGTAATCAACGATGAACCTGTTTTTGCTTACATCGACGATCCGTGCGGTGAACATTCTGTCATTGTACAGAAACTGAAGCTAGTCTTGGTCAATCATGCACTGGCAAACAACGATGACATGACGAACCCAAGTGCTTCAATTTTTCTGAAGATTGGTGCATTTGAGCGATAATTGAAGGCAGTTTTGCCCAAAGAAGTTGAGGAGACTAGATTTTCTTTTGAGACTGGCTATCCAGCTACTCGAAACCGGATCGAGAACTGCAAGTCCTATCCTTTGTATAAGTTTGTGAGGGAAGAGCTAGGAACTGAAATTTTTTACTGCAGAGAAGATCAGGTCGCCGGGAGAGGATTGCGACAAAGTGTTTTCGGCAATTTGCAGCGGAACGTTAATCGATCCGCTCCTGCACTGCCTTAATGAATGGGATGGCAGTCCCCTTCCAAAATGTTTAAGAACTCTACCCTGTCCAAAAACAATAATGTTGAAATATATGGTACATATGTACCCAATCCAACAACTATAAAACCGCATAGATGACATTTTTTCATTGCAACAGATTAAGTCGTAAGAAAAATATTATCGAAAGCAATCAGTCCGGATTCTTTGTGCTCTGATAGATGCCGGCCACATTTACAAGAACGGCGAGAAAAATGAATGAAAAGTATTTATCAAATATAGCCAAATATTCGCCTTTAATTTAAAAAATGTTAGTTTTTATAACAACACTCAAATATATCTAAAGTCTCACTTAAATAGACACAAATACCCGAAAACTTTAAAACCAATAAAACTAAAAAATCAAAGCCCTATTAGATGAATTTCTGACGTCAAAATCTAAGAAATAGTGGAGAAATAGTGAAGGCATCAGCTGCAGGTGCAGACTTGTGTAGCCCTAAACAACGAGTTAAGATGATTATTTTTTGCATTTTTCCTCGTCCACATTTTCTTTTTCTTGTTTTAATTTCTTCCATCTTTCAGTCGGTGTCTTTTTCTAGTTCTTTAGTTTCGCTAAATTTTGGGAGAGAAATAGATAACATATAAATGTGATTTTGTGATTTGTGGTTCTTTGCTATCTCTGTAATTTCTTATTCATTCAAAGTTCCAACATAATCACTTTTTGACTTATCTATTATCTGGGCAATATTATGCATGGTCCCAGGTGCAATTGGAACATCAGTGATTGCTACTGTTTGAAATGCTAATTTTTCTCTCTGTATTTTTATTCTTCTTATCTTGGTTTGGGAATTGTCAATTAATTGTATTAATAGTCTGGAATTATTTTCAATATGTATATCACTTTTTTTTTTCTTATTGTTTTGCTTATAAAAGGATTTGTGTTTGTTTAAGTGAAATTTTTTAATATAATCGAAAGTTTTTATAAAAAATGACATTTTTGAAATTAAGAGTGAAAGTTTTGCTATTATTGATATATTCCCAAAAAGTGAAAGCAAGTAAGAAGGGATTTATGAAATAAGGCATACTAATGAAGTTGAGGTGAGATATAGAAAATGTTCTACTTCCGTCGACAGCGTTGTACAAACTAATTTGGCCCTTGACACCGATTTACGCTCGGCTGAAACATAAGAGTACGAACTAACTACATAATTTGAATTTACATTACCATCATTTGAACACAAGGCATCTCAAAATGTACAGCTACGACCTCCCAGCAGCAAGGCCAGCTTTACAACACACCTGCCTCTCCCTAGGGCATGTCAAAAGTCACAACCCCGGCGCATTACCCAGAGAAGAAAGAGACGTGGTAAAATGATTTTCTGAGAAATTAGGAACTGGTATCTTATAACCGGTTAGTCATCGTCTGATAAACAAACTATGTCAGCGGGTCCACCTGTATTTACTGGGTTCGTACGAGCACTTCCTGTAATGGGAGGAGTGGGAAGGTTCGATGTGGGACGGTTTGAGACCAAATTTGGGCGTGAGGGCGAACAACCTGGTGGACTTGCACCAGGCCGAGAGTTCATATTCATAAGCAACCCCAAAGCAGATAATCTACGAAGAGCTGACAGATCCCCTGGACTTTCAGGCTGACGGGCACTAGTATTAGGAACAGATTGCACTGCTGGAGCTGGAGGACGTGGAATATGAGGAAGTGAGGGAGGCGTTGCGGGGGAGTTGCTATGTGACTGCTGATTAGACATGGAAGTTGAAGGTCTAAACGGTTGAAGATGAGGAGCCGGGGCACGAATCTCACCTCCACCTTGGGCGGTTCTTGTGGAGGAGATGGAACTGATATGCGGTGGTCTTGCTGGGATACTTGGAATAGGAGAAGTCGAAAGAGGAATTGTTGCAGGTGCAGGTGGAGGTGGGCTGGGTAGGGGGGCAGTTGAAGTGTGCAGGTTAGCTGCAGGAGTGCTGGCCAAAGATGAACTAGCAGCTGGAGAATTTCTTTGTGTATCATGTACAGATAGCTGAACCAGCTGCTGAACGAAACTGGAATTCGTGAAACTGGAATTCCCATCTGGCAGATAAATTGGAACAAGGAGCATAAGAGCAATGACAAAAAAGCACATAATCTGCAAGAATACGGGGACTCAGCCCCTTCCGCCAAAAATATTATATTTAGAGTACATTTAGACCAAATAGGCAGATTCAGTTTGTCATAGTAGGCACAGTTAATGCTAAAGAAGGTTTCGAAACCGATCACGTACACTTTGACAGTCAATCAATCAAATATTGAAACTATTTATACAGACAAGTTCAATTTTCCCCCTCGTCTCTCTCGCCACACCACCTTTTTCTTTTCTCTGTTCTCTCATCTGAGTGGATCCTTTTTTATAAATCCTTTAACCTTACTCCTCATCGATTGTTCATTTAACATGCCATTTTTCTTCTTTTTGTACCCTCCCCTGGTCTAAGTATTAATGATGGACCTAGCTTACGTTCAGAACCAAGCTATCCCTGGGTCAAAAATCCTCATCTACTACAGTTTTGCACTCCCACCAAACAACCTATGGAATCTGAAGCTTTAAGGTTAAAATCTAAAAATCTTACTATCCTCCTTAATCTCGGAAGGTCCAAACCTCAAGGTTACTTCTAAAGGTCGTACCCAGTGCACAAGGCTCCCGCTTTAAGCAGAGTCTGGGAGAGGTGAATGTCGGCTAGCCTTACCCCCATTTATGGAGAGGCTGCTCCCAAGTCTCGAACCCGAGACCTACCGCTCATGGGCGAAGGCACTTGCCATCGCACGGTTACTTCTCAAAGAATAAATTTCACAATCTCTAAAAGTCTAAAGGGGGTGGCTAACTTTCCATTAGGTTCACTTGTAGCCGTTGTAGTTAGATGAAACTGATATATTATGTAATTGAAAATTGCAAAAAAATAAAGCCCAATGAAGATCCATGACCTTCCACAGAAAATGAAAATACCATCCAAACTACATAATTGGCATATGAATAATAAAACTGATATCTCAAAAGTTGCAATTCAGAAGTTTTCATACCTTGCTGCAGTCCAGATGCACCTGATGCCCGAAGATCCATGCATTTTGACCGGAAAGCCTCAGCCAAAATCTTGTTCATCAAAACTTTGTGGTGTATTGAATCCAACTCCTCCTTTTTAAGGAGAAATTCAGCCTCAATCTCCTGAGATTTAACTTCATATTTTCGTCGAATTTCAGCTACAGCCTCCTCTATTTCCTTGTCACAATCACCCTTCAGTCGTAGCTTCTGTTCAAGACAAAAATGACCTCAGCAGAAATTTTTGCTTTGAAAAATAAATAAACAACAATATATTAACTTCAAAACTCACCGCATCTTCATGAGACTTAAGAATATGATCTGTCTGTTTATTCAATCTTTCCAATTCATATTGAAGCGGGTCAGTGTACGAAGGCAGAGGCGCTCGAGATCCCCCTTGGGGTGCAGCATTTATAGGACGACTATTAAATGCAGAAGTAACAGGTGTAGCCCTAGTGTCTGAAAATGGCAGTCCAAATTCACTAGTAGAGGATGTGACAGGCCGCAAAACAGTTTGATTTGAAAGATCGGAAATATTCTCAACAAGATCTACCGGAGCATGGGAAATTTGGTTAGAGGTACGGTCTTCACTAGGCCGAATTTCGACTCCACCAGCTGAAGATAACTCAGGAGCACTATTATCAGGTGCATAATAGGATGGCTGTTGAACTACAGGTTCAATGTCTGGCAATTCATGATTAGGCGGCAGATTGGATGCTACGGTTGGAGCAGATTTGGGTGTGGTATTTTCAACCGTTTGGGAAGTATTCTGCTGTTCACTGGATACTGCATCTTCTTGCTCTGCATCAGATGTTTCTATCCGAGTACCTATGTTTTGAAATGCCTGGCCAGGTAAGCATTTTTCAGTAGGTGAACGGCTAAATCACTTTCTCTTTCTGATTTTATTGTAGAACAAAATTTACTATGGAAAATGAATACCACCTCCTCACATGAAAGAACCAAGTCAAAACAAAATCATATAATAGTGGACCACTTATAAGATGTTGTGAAATGTGAACATAAAAACTTCATCAGAAAATTACAAATCTAAGCTTGTCATAATTCTCAAGATAGTGTAAAACAAAGTAGTGCAGCCTGCTCATCAGACAAAGCACAAAGTCATTTTCATGGAACATAAACAAAGATAAAAACAAGGTGACTACCATATAGATTGACAAATTCCAACAAGCAAATACCTGATCTAGTGTCGCTGAACAACCAGTAACCAAGGCCACAGGCTGCACTCTAGGTGAACTTACCAGGGGCATTTCCTGATCAGAGTTTACATCGGTCACAATATCAACTCCATTCTGCTGGTAAGCCCCTGGTGCACTATCAGATACCATAAGATCCACCTCACAGGATTCTTTTTCAGTAGCTTTTTCACAGATTTGTTCATCAGGTCGTGGTGGATCCACAGATACAAGATTCCCTTGCTCATCATCTAAACTGACAGTCTGCAGCACTAACAAATCAACCTCTTTATCTGGCATGGCTACTGTCACTTCATGGATTTGTTCTTCAGAGGCAGGCGACATAGGCGGAACATGGTGGAGACCATGACTTGAAATGACAGGCTCATGTTCTGTTGATTTTCAGGGATTTCTTCTTCAGATGAAGGTGCATTCAAAGAGACACGACTTTCCAAGCTATCTTTGGAACTGACATTCTCAAGCACGCCCAAATGAACCTCTTTATCTGGTACTGTTACTGTCAATTCATGGATTTGTCCTTCAGATGAAGGTGGGCTCACCGAAACGTCATGCAAATCATGACTGGAATTGACAGTCTCATGTTCTGTCACTTTTCCAAGCATCTGTCCTTCAGCAAGTGGATCCACCGAGACAAGATTCCCTTGTCCATAATTCGAACTGACAGTCTCAAGCACTCCTGATTCGATCTCTTTATCTGGCATGGTTCGCTTCGCTACATGGTTTTGTTCTTCTGGTGAAGGTGCCCTCACAGAAACGACGTTTTGTGAGCTATGACTTGAACAAGGATTCACAGATACATCCAGCACCCCACTACATGCAGTACCTCCATCAGTAATTTGCGTTTTGGCACAAGGATTCAAAGATACAAAACTCTCTTGAACATCACTAGAACTTTCAGCTTTGTTTTTACCCATGAAACCAGTACATGAAGCCGCCTCAGAAGTAATACCTAATGCACCACGTGGCCTAGCTGGGGTCTCCTCAGTTCTAATGGGGACATTATGTGCTACAGCTTCAGCAGGAACACTTTCTGCAGTAGGAGATGGTGCTTTAACTCCCCCCGCCACGCTATGCACAATACTATCAAAGTCATGGACTCTTAAAGTGGCAAGATCTTCGTGATCTTCACTACTTTGACATTCACTAGTTCTTGAGCATTCCAACCAAGGGTCAAGTGTACCTGAGGGTGATCTATCTAACAATTCAGCACGAGCCCAGGATTGCACTTCCTCTACCCATCGTTTCCCCATCTCCCTCAGTTTACTCCTTGCTTCCAGCTGTGATACCTCAAGATGCTCAAGACGTAGGTCCATCTGGTTGTCATTTTCTTCTATTTTCTTTTCCAACATCTTAAGCTTATCCGTTCTCATTGATGTATTATTCTGAAAGCAAGATCGAATAACAATTGTCTCTGCTTTAAGCTCTCTTTCTAGACGCCCCTTTTCTTCCTCATAAGTTCGCAAAACTTCATTTTTGTCTTTGCTTTGCTTCTCAATAAGTTTTTTCATCTTCTTCTGGAGCTTTTTCTGAATTTCTTTAATACTTTTTGAGACATCTTCTTGTGCAAAATATTCTTGACTCGGTGGCGAGTCTTTAACGTCTGATTTGATGTGCTGCAAGTTAGAAGTTAATGACTGTGAAGCCTTCGCATCCGAATTCTTCAAAACATCTTTACTTGATAAATTAGAAAGCTTTGGAGATTCTGCAGCCTTAAAAGCGCCTATACTGTGCAAAAATGTTCTTTTCAGACACCGCAACATCGAATAAACATACTCTGCCTCCTCCTTTTTGCAATTGAAGTTAAGATGCTGCTTTGCAAGTGAAAGAGATTCTTTGTGGTCAACTTTCTGCTTCAGAAATGAAGCTGCAATCCAACACTGGAATATAGATATCAGAAAGTCGGTTAAAAAATGTTAAAAGTAACACTAAGGAACATGCGCATGCAATTAAGCACTGATGTATATATGCACACATAATACTAAGGATGTCCCCCAACCTCACACAGAGAAATAGACAGAGGTAGTACTTAATATGTGGTCTGTTTAAATTTTAGTCATAGTTACAGCTATGGACATAGTGAAGGAAATGCTTAAGAATTGTGGAGTATGGAATTTAATTGGAAAATCACAAGATAATACCATGTGGATTTGTTTAGTTGTAACTAAACTCAACACTTCACTATTCTCCAACCACCCCATTCTCTTTTGATACATCCAAACTTCCCCAAAATAGCTTAAGAATTGTTGTGGAGTATTAAACTTAGTTGAAAAATAATTAAAAAAAAAAAAGAATTACCACATATACGGATTTTTTTTTTGTCAAACGATAGATTTTGTTAGATTAGATGTTAGATTAGCCACCAACAGGGTTAGAACCCACGCCGTCATGCAAGGGCTCAACTCCTTTCCACCACTGTGGTAAAGGGCCACTTGCACCACATATATGGATTTTAAATACAATTATTTCTTTTAAAAATTAAGCTGTTAGTAATGAAAGCATTTTTCTTGACTCAAAAAATTCTGAATATCACCTAGTCAGATGAAAACATGAATCAGTTTTGACAATTTAGTGCTATTCAAACTGCATTATCTTCATAGAAGTTTATCCATCCTTGGTTATTTTACTTTTTACAAGAAATATAACTTTTCAACCCATAATAAAAGTGACATTTCATGGAAGTAAGCAAATCAAGTGCAGAGGCAGAAGAATCACCATCACTCAAATATGTTTAGACCATCTCCAACCCTGGGCTAAAAGCCAAATTACCCCCCCCCCAAACACTCTCCAACCCATGCTAAAATTTTAGGCTAAATGCCAAATGCTATTTCTGAGCCAAATACCCGCCAGCTTTCCCCACGGGCTAAATGCGAAATGTTTATCGGAATTTAAATTTTTTTAGATTAAAATGTTCATAAAATTAATTTACAATAATCTACATATTTATTTTTTTAATAAAAATTGATTTAAGAAAAAAATTTAGGCTAATTTCATTCTTTAATAATTCCGGGCTAAAATTTTAGGGTAGAAGGGTTGGAGTAGAAAAGATGTTTCTGGGCTAAAAGCTAAATTTTCCGGGCTAAAAAATTTGGCTTTTAGCCCAAGGGTTGGAGATGGTCTTAGGGTACAACTTGATCAGGTCAAGCTAGGTAAAGTGCATCATCGTTATACAATGCACCATTCATTTGTAAAACTGAACCGAGAATTTATATAAGTTGTCATACGCCTAGGCAAATGAAAACAAAATTGATTCTTTCAACATGCAAGACATGAGGTACCTTCTTGCTATCATTTGTAAGAGGTGTTGTAAACCTAAATCAATGAGTCGCTATAACATATTCAGTGACAACCATATGAACATATCAGGGTAAAAGGAAAAGCATGAATACCAAGTCTATACTTTAAAATCATTTCCCGACCAGGAAGATAAATGATTGTTGAAGGAAAGTAATATTAAAGAACTTTGCAATTCAACATGCCAACAAAAATTAATAAAAAGGTTAGGCTATATAAGTGCATGAAAGAGCAAGACAATTCTAACCAGAGATATCTGAAATGCCTGCAATATTGTCGCTGGTTCCCTATTAACACGGTGATTACCCATTACATATTCGAGAAAAAGTTCGACCATAACCTTGACAGCATCCTGCATTACAGTGAGTAACCAAGATATCATTAAACGAGAGAACCATGTTTTACTGAGGTATAATAATGGAAATACCAGTTAATAACAGCAGCACATATGAACTAAAACTGAAAGCAAAAGGTTGTTCACATAAAAATCAAATCCATACAGAGACTTGTAAGATTCCACATAGTTTTAATATATCTGGCTTCAGAAGTTGATGGAGACTCTTCTGGGCATCACACAATTTTCTTCTCTCTTCAGACTCAAGCGTGTTAATTTCCGGAGTATTCACATTATCTGAAGTGGAATCACGAATTTCATCAGTTACTTTATTTGCACAAGCAGTTGACTGGTGAGAAGAATGAGGCAAATTATCTGCTGCAGCCACAGAAGTTCCTGCAAAAGTAGAGATATTTTAAGAAACTAGAAATGGGAATCCAACAGATCTACAGGACCATGACATTGCATCAAGACACAATTCTCGGAGAAATGCCATGAAAAAAATGAAACAATTCACAGTATCAGTCATTTACCTTCCTTGGATCCAGGAACTGATTTCACCTCTGATCCAGGCTTCAGATGGGGTGCATTATCATTACCATTTACAACCTTCCCGCGTTTTTTTACAATTTCTTGTTTCTTCGGTAACTCATCAAAAGGTTGTACCCGTTTCCGATTCCTCTGAGACAAACCAGAACAATATTTCCACTGAGGATGCTTTCCTTCCAACAATTTTGTCCAAAAACTAAGAGGCTGCCCTTCACCAGTATATTCATTTTTCATCTCGCTTAGCAACGGAACCTCCGTACTGTAAGCTCCTCCAGTTTGTTGAACTCTTAAAATCGTAGAATAATTACATGAGCCACTGTTCTCGCCATCCTGAGGAAGTATGGAGAAGAGCTCCTGGATGACATCTTTCAGAAGTGATTCTTCAGACAAGATATTTCTAGTAGAGGCTGGGCTGTTGCAGCCATGGAACTCGTCTAGTTTATCTAGTTGATAAGGTGCCCCCCACAGAAGCATACTACTGCTCATATTCTGTATGTTGTTATCAAGAATCTTCCCCTGTTTTGCACACACTAGAACTTTCTCCTCCACCGTACAAGTTGAATATAAGCGAAATACTTTTATGTGTTCAAACCGGGAATCAAGTGATATCTTTTGCAGGGCTTTTATATCATTATGTGGAATCCAGTCACTACCAAATATGATCACAGTATCAACTGAGGACAGTTTGATGTTGGGGAGACAAGCACGAGCCTCCAGTAAGAACACAAATCTACCAGACTCCTTATTGTTGAAAATGTTCATAGCAGCATCTTTCTTAGACCGAAGGACACCGCATTCGACGCGTTCATAGGAATTTTCACCATATCTTAGGCGCAGGAAATCATCCAAAACATCTCCAAGAGAAAACGCTTTTCCTGAACCACCAATTGACTGGTAAAGACAAAAACAAAAAGGAAGATGAGAACAATAGAATGATTTCTTGTCCATATAACTGTTGTCTATCATTGATTTTTTATGGCCTTGGATAAATCAGAAGCTCAGTAAATTCATACTTTATGAACTGCCTGAATACTATAGAGCTGGTCAGGTTCACATCCTCATTCATCTTTAGTACTTTATTTGGAAGAAAAAATTGCATCTTATGGCACATGGCAGAGAGAACACAAGTGATCAAATCCAAAGGCGGAAGCCACATATGTGATTACACCTAAAATGGCGTGAAGCCAGTTGCTACTAGAGATCAACTACTTACCTTCGTATGGTGGCTTTGGGCTTGTAACTCAAGCTCTGTGAGGAGGGAAATGTTGCTTGTTAGCTGTTTTTTTTTTTGGGTCGTTTGGTAAGAGAAGTAAAAATAATTATTGAATATCACAGAGAAGTAAGAACTGTAGAGGAGGGTTAGCGATGAGCCTCTGTTTGGGCATAAGTTAGTCAACATTCAGGATGCTTTGTTTTGGGCGATCTTTTCTGATTGGAGTGCTGCAGGCTGCAGTGGTTTCAAGGGAAAAAATATTGTTTCTTATTTGTATATGTATGTATGTATGTGTGTGTGTGTATATATATATATATATATATAAAATTTAGTGTGATAGTCTGTCTGTTTATATATATCATCTGATTTTTATAAGAAAAAGCAATAAAACACACTATTTTTTGTTTTTTGAGAAAGCATAAAACACAATGACAAAACAGAGGCTTTCCAACTTGAACAAATAACAGAAAAAGAGATCTCTCAAACTTCCAAAGCTACAGATGCCCACAAAGAATCCCAAAAGCGCACCCTTTGCCATAAGAATTCCACCTCCACACCCACAATATTCTCAAAAGTCTTCTTATTCCGTTCTCCCCATACCACCCAAAAAAATTGCCATCATAACGCACACCCCCCAAGCACTACCCCTCTCTTTTCGACCAACAAACTTATGCTTTTCACATAATAATGCATCACATGACATCGAAATGGATCAACATAAACCTGCCTCCTCAATTAACAGAGCCAACAAAGAAAAAGCCACTGGAAAGTGCAACAACAAATGATCCAACCAAAATGCATCATATACTCAAAAACTAAAAAATAGGAAGCTAATCCTCAATCAACAAATTATCTAAATCCACAGGTTTAAAAGGATGGGAACAGCCTCCCAAAGAAGTCAAGATCAAAACTTCTATATTAAATATAAGTTATAACAAATAATACTGAGAACAGCAGTTCTAATAAGAATTATACTACCACTAATCGCGTACCTGGAACAGGATAAGTACTCTTAAACTTCGATTCTTTATCTCCTTAAGCATCATGTCAAGAAGCTGAAGCTTGCCACTTGCTTTGATTCCTACATCCAAATACTCAGCTGCTTGGAGGTCTTTAGTAAGCAAGGCTTGTAATGGTGGATGCACAATGTAGGGGTGATCACAGCACTGTCAACAAATGCCATACAAGTGACTTAATTAGAAACAAGTACGGTGGTGGAGGAGGGAGAATAAAATATGCAAACCATAGGAATGTCACTTGTTTTCAATACCCATTGCACAAAACACAAGGAAACTCAAACTTAAAACAAATATGCAAATAATATCTTCCTTTGTTTTAAGCCAAGCATAAATTAAAATAGAAAACAACATAATAAAATGAGAAAACAAAATCCAATTAAATTAATAGAAGAGAAAGTTGAAACTAATAAATGAAAACAAGTCATTACAGATCTCTTCTAATTCCAATACGTGTATGTGATATACAAACAACTTGAATTATAAATCACTAAATTAAATGAAACTAAAATTACTAAATTTCCACGAGATAACTATATTACAAGTAATAACTTTTTAAAGGTGCAAAAACTACATCTTTTAAATTACCCAAACAGAATCAACTATATATGTATGTATGTATATGTACACAATATCCACACCAACATACTAAAGAGAGAAAAATCAAAATGAGATGACAGAATGGTGTTATCAAACCAAATAAAAAGTATGACAACCTATGACACCATGGAAGTCAAAAGTTACAGTAGATGACGAAAAGACACATAGATGTCATGCAATCATTAACCACCATACTAGAGAAAAGCGAAACCAGCCAACCTTCCGAGCAGCTAGAGTTACATCATGGAGTGCTTTTTTTGATAAATTTTTGTCCGCTAAAGTTATATCTGCTCCAACACGATCTTTCTTTGCCAATGAGAGAATTAATGTGGAGTTTGACAGTAAATTTTCACAGTACTGCTCTAGCTGGACGGTTGATATCTGTACAGGAACCCAATACTCTCTAAACCTGGGAGAGTCATGTTTGCATCCATGAGAAATATACCTTGAAAGCCTGTCCTTTAATTTAACAATAATGTCAGTGCAACTGCTTAGGAAGTGATCACCAGTTTGTGAATTGCTGTCAGAATCAAGGAGACACAACAAACAGAGGTACTCAGGACTGCTCTCCTGCAATATTTAGCCTTTCATAAGCCGGCCAAGTAGAAAGCAATCTCCACCACCACTCAAAATATAAAAAGAAAAATACTAACATAAAGCACAATAAAATACAAACCTTAAGTACTCCACTGACCAGGAGAAGCCACTTACGGGTACGTAGCATCTTAATCTGCACCAACTGTGTAGAGATTGTAGGGTGCTGGCACGCATCAATTATGATAGTTTCCCATCCTATGTGTTCGAATACATTTTTATCCTGCAGAATAAGAAGACGGTTTAACAACCAAGTCACTATTGTCTAAGCGACTATTCATTTCAAAGAGAAGTAAGCACTTTTACATTCAACTACATTTCTAATGCTAATGGATCCTACAATCAGGGAAAAAGATACCTCAATAATAGCATCTGGTGAGGTAACAAGTACTTGAAAAATGGCACCAGCCTCATCAAACTCTATTGACCTAATACTTCTCCGTAAATCTTTATTTCCACTGTAAACCACAACATTCATAGATGGTGCCAAACGGGAGAACTCATCATCCCAATAACGAAGTGTAGAAGGAGTTGAGATGATCAGAAAAGGTTGATAGGCATCAGACTGCAAAGATTTAATACATGCAATCACCTTCACAATTCGTTCCTGCAAAAACAGAATTTTTTTACAACCAGTTCACAAGCACAACTTCACATGAAACATTACTAGATTTAGTCTAAAAACTTGAATTTTTTCTTTTTAGTTCCCCATTAAGCACCAGCTTGTTGCTAATATAAGATCATAAAGAAGATAGTAAATCGTTCTAAAGTCCCTAATAAAACCCTTTTCAGTCAAAAATACAATAACATATTTCAGAGGGGAAAAATTAAAATGTAAACCTGTTTACCATAATCGTATTTCAGAAAATTGTGTGAAAATCCTCCTCTTTCTTTACCCAACCCTTTCCTATAATTTGGAAGGTTAGAGTACCTCCTAATGTAATTACTTGAACAATTGTTCACAGTAGCTGATACAAGTGTGTAAAGGAGAGAGTGAATGTGCGAATTGATGAAGCGTACATCTTTTCACCACTGTGGCACTCTATTTTGCTTAATAATAAAATTTGTTTCTCAAGAACACAAACAAGTAGAACCGATCAACTGTATGTGAATATATATCTGAACATCGAATCATAAACCCCACAACAAGACAATGTTAATGAGTTAACCAGAATGTTATCTGACAAGCTGTCTAACAGATGAAAAGTAAACCAAGCTCACCTTATCATCAACAACAATAGCATTCTCACCCTTGTGCCAGAGCTCGCGTAGCTTGTTAATGTTCTCTAGACATGTATTATCAAGTCTGGATGAATCTCCAGCTAGCAGTTCTGATAAATTAACAGTTGAACACTTTTTTCTCTCAAGTATCTGCAGGTAATGTTAGCATTAGCAACAGAAGAATCGTATAGTCATAAGCATACTCATACGAATAAACTGTAGACTCAAAAAGTTCCCTTCAGGGATTAATCAATTTTATAAAAGACAAATAATCTATATATACTCAAAATCTTAAATGACAGTGAACAAGCAGAAAACACACGATATCCAGACAGCCCACCCCTAGAACATTAAAAAAATATAGTATCCCTTAAAGAGCACACAGAGAGGACAGATTGTTATCCATTATGATCAATGACAGAGAAGCCTTTGTACTCGTAGAAAAATGATATAGAAGCCCTCCACCAATCATAGAAGGAAACGAAATATCTTACACGTCAAATTTTGGAGATTCCAGTATAGGTTTCAACTGTGCTTAAGACTAGACAACCAGTATGTTCCTTGTCACTTTCCACTTAAAAATTAATTCAAAACAAATAAGATCGGTTTAGATCTCTTTGGTCAACAAGTAAAACGTGGAGGAAACTGACATCTTCAACATATTAATCCAAACAGATATGCATTTAAATCTAGAACTAGATGTTTCATATATTTCATCATATAATTCATGCCTTTGGCACCTTATCCATTTTAGAGGACTTCTTGACCGTCTGCCGGCGGCTTTCATAATCTCTTATAAGGCCCTGACCCTCAGGTGAATCAAAGAATGCAGCATTCTCTAACTCCCAAGTAGCATCGTCATAATGAAGACCGCGCCATTTCACAAGCCATTCATACTGACAAAATAAGTTATCACCAATATGTTCCCCAAGATAGTTTTCACGCTGCTTGGAAGACATTAACAATCTCCTTTGTAGCAACCGATGTGGAACTGTCCACTCTTTTCTCCACCTTGTGACCTGAAGAACATTTATTAACAACTGCTTAATATTGAAAGAATTATTTATCTTACAACTCCCCAACTACAGCTGGTGTGCAAAGGTAGATTTTGACTTAAGGGTATAAAAAAATGATAGAACAAAGCTAAAGAGTGAAGAGAAAGAAATTTGAACCCATGCAAAGGCATCTCAATCCCATGAATGAATGTCAGATTCCCTTTTTAGGGTGTTTCAAATTTTCCATTGATAGACATAACAAGTATAACAGAACATGTCTACCAAAACAAGAGTTGAAAAAACAGACCTGGTTATTTCGGTTGAATATTGCCACAAGAGTAGGAGCTTCAAGAAGAACTCTACTTTCTGGTACCCATTGGTTGTGAATATGAGCAAGACCCTTGTATTTAAGAAAAAATTCCTTCCTCTTTTGCAATCCTACAGGTCAACCAGGAAAAAAAAAGGACCAGATATTTGTTATTAAGAAGTCATCATACATAAAATGATCACAACAGAAAATAAGAAAATAATCCAAAACAAAGATGAAGCTGAAGTCTCATAATTTCTGCATACCATCAACATTCGATACCTCTACTTCTCTAGCATCCCAGATTGACTCTATTCCCTCTGACACCGAATATATACCAGATTCCAACTTTTTTCTAACACACATGGGACAGTACCAAAGTCCAAGAGGAACATCATCCATAGGAGGATCTAGACAAGAAAGATGTAAGCTTGTCCAGCATCCTTTTCCATTACAGCACCTGAAATTGAAAACAAATTCTAAGAACCAAAACACATCATAGAAGCAAATAACATTGAAGTTTATAGAAAAAAGTTCCATATTGTGAAAATGTTCATTCATGTGCAAGTACAACCACTCATGCGAAATTACTTCTAAAAAGCGCAGCTTCAGCAAACGTGAGGGACTTTATGCCAGAAAGTCCGGTGTCCAGCAAACATAAAAGACTTTAGGCCGGTTAGTCCAGTTTCCAGCTTAATAAAAAATTATTGTAAAAATGTTGGCCTCAGGATTATAAAGGGTGCTGACTGATACAATCTCATGCGCTTAAGGCGGGCTTCAGTGAAGGAGAGGCAGATTTTTGATGTTGTACTAGTAAAATGGTGGAAGAAGTGGGAAAAACGAAGGTAAGGTGTGTCGAAAAGCTCCAACGGAAAGGCCTTCTGCTGCATGTTATAGAGTCATAGACCAATTGGCACAGTAACTTTCGTGGGGTTATTTGGCTTACTAACTTCAATAAACGCGCCGTTTATGTGTATATTCTGTGGTTGCTACCTTCTTAGCTCTATTTGTATCTGGATGAAGGTGGATGCCTTCTTCCCAGATTCAATACTTTGTAATCTGTTTTCAGATTTAATAAATTTTGTTTCTCCTGAATGAAAGCAAAAAATAAATTTTCCATATCATTTAATAATAAAAACACTTGCAACTATCAAATGTCACAAGAAAGGGTTACCCACAAGAGCTTCCCACCAAGAGAACAGATGAGGCATGTATTTTGGTCGCCATTTGTTTGAAGATCTACAGAAAACTCCTTTTGCTGCATACCATTAAGCTTTTCAGGAATTTCTGTGGTACTATCAGCTGTGAGTTCTCCTCTATCAGGATGCACCTTTCAGAAAAATGAAAAGAAAAAAACACATCAAGATCAACAAACTGATATAACAAACATATAATAAACCTAAAACCATAAGGTTTTAAGCTAGGTAATGTGCACTACCTAGAAATTTGACAAGCAAAAGTATTGTAGGGTATCAAAATCAAGTAACCTACTAAAAGACACTATTATTTGCTTCCTCGAAAGATTACTAATGATCCAAGCAAAATAACATAAATAGTAACAGTGAACAAAAATTTATAAGTACAATCTCCACAAAATAATGGACATGATCCCATAAAATGTTCCATTTCAACCATATGAAAATATCTGTGGGAAAAATAAAAATAATGACATACAAACAAGTAATGAATAGGAACGTCGAAAATTGCTTTTTTTATCTTGTTTATCGATAATCTCCAGTGTTATGCAAACTTATAAGATGATGCTATGCAAATATATGAACAATAAAGTAAACACGCCACACACAAACACAGAATTCAGCGTGGTTCAGCAAATTTATGCCTACTCCTTGTGTGATCTCTCTTGAGAAATCACCTGCACTATGGAGAATAACAACTCAGTTTCAAGAACTTAATAAAAACCCTTATGCTAATTGCTAAACTTCACAACATCGCTTTAGAACAGCCCCCAACTAGCCTATTTATAGTACATAGAACCAATGGTTACATTCCTTACAAGTATAGGATTCCTAAATCCTTTTAGAATAGGGATAACTAACTTATTTCCTAATCCTAAGGGATTACAAAGAAAAACCTCTTTCCCAATTTTTATGGGAAATAACTTGTGGACATTCCTTTTCTTCTTTCCCAACCCCAATTGGAAACCTACACCTGTTTGGCCTTGGTATTTTCACGAGCCAAATCACAACAGGTCAAAACCTTCATTAACTCGATTACTAATTTCTGTAACACTGAAAAACAAATTCCAAGGCGGCTTTGTTGTGAATATCGCGTTTAAGAATGGGAAAAACAGAACAAACTCGAGAAATAAAAAAACAAAGTAACCAAGACAAATAACACCAAGAATTAACATGGTTTGGCTATATGTGCCTACGTCCACGGGACAGCAACAACAATCTTTCACTATATCAATAATGAGTACAACCAATAATCTTGCCAAGTCTCTAGAATTAAGAACTTGACGATAAACCTGAAAGAACAAGAACAAGAAATACACTCTGTTATATATTTACTTTTCTCTCGCACACTTTGCCCTTAAAATATTCTCTCACTCTAATCCCCTGAGTGGTATACAAAATATTATTTTGCTCCAATTCAAAACTAGTACAACGACCCATTATATAGTCATGATAAAGGTCTTCTTCAATAAGGATTACTAATCCTAATTGGAATCTAGTTATGAATCCTTCTCCAATTGGGGAAACAACTACAAACGGGAAAACAATTTATCCTCTAAGACTATAATTCCTTATAGACTTAGGACAACTTATCATGGGTTGGAAAAACCCAACAGGCTTCATAAATTATTGTCCTCTACTAAATTACAATGTTCGTATAACAAAAAAACTTATTTGCTATATCTAATATCTGATGTTCCTTTTGACATGGTAGCCACATTTAATTAACTATTATAATCACATCAGCTCTGTATGCAGCTAGAGATTAGAGATCCTCTACAAACCATATCCACAAAATGACACCAATCATGGAAACACCTCCCCATGAAATGAAATGAGACACAACACCAGAAAGAAGAGAGAGAAATTAAAGTGAGCCACAGCACCATAATATAAGCACCACAAAGCAACAAAAAATATGGCAGGCCATTTAGAGCAATATATTCCATCTGAGAGAAACAAACTCAAATAAAATGGACCAAATAAAATGGAACTGAAACAATGGATTTTGAAAGCAGTAAAGAGCGAGAAGGTTGAGCCAACCTCAGTTCCATATGTACTACATAACTCCTGCTTTAATTTTGTGCTGCAAGAGCAACACTCTAGCTTCGTTGGATCATTTTCCACCCTGAAAATATCACATGAGATACAGTCAACACTTCTAAAATCGGAATGTTATAAGAGTATCACGACTGCCCAAAATTTACAAAATCTAATACAATAGCCAAGTATATATCCTCATAGATGTAAGATTTTCGACTCCCCTATGGAACTTCTTGTTTGATGTATTTGACAATAAACTCAACTTAGCAAATGGAGAATAACTAAAAACACACAAGATATACATTGGTTTGGCAGAACTTTTGCCTACGTCCAATTGTGATTTCTCTGTAGAGAAATCACGGCTTCTTTGAATTTCTTGGCCGGCACTTTGAACTTCTGCCTACCTCAAGTGCGGAGGTGCTACACCTTACTCAATCAACTAGATTGATTGAGTTCAAGCAATGCTTGAATTCCTTGGCCAGCACTATCTTGGTAAGGAAATATGCGGCATTTTCATCCGTGTGAAACTTTTCAACCCAAATCTCCTTGGACTCCACTCAAACCTGAATTTTATGATACCTTACTTCAATGAGTACCCCTTTGCCACAAGCCTTGCTTTGAATCTTACGGCATCTTGTTCATGTACTTGCATCCAACTAGCTTTCTGTCTTGGGATCAGGAACCAACTCCCAAACAGAGCTTTTGTAAAGCGACTACATTTCTTCTGTCATAGCACTTATCCAACTATCTCGCTTATCACTTACTATAGTTCTTGATAAGTAATTGGATCTCGTTGGCTGATGTGAAGAGAATAATTAACTTCGTCTTGGTCAAACCCAAACTTGTCAGGTTTCTTCTTGTTTCGAATGGGTTTGTCCAGTGCCATGCATCTCTGGAATACAGGTGATTTGTGGGTTGGAGTTTGAACCCATTGGGATGTCTGGCGGATTGGAGTGCTTGGAGTGCCTGATTCCTACCTGGTGAATGATGTTGATGCTCTTCTTCCCATAATCATCAGATTCGAATCCTTGCTCAATTGGCTCCACCAAAGCTTCATCTTCCTCTGATCTGATGAATGGAATTCTTGTTGCTTCAATTCAATATCATCCTTCTTTCAGTTGAAGCCCATATAGTTCATCCTTGAGAAACAATGTATTGGAAATGGTTTTGCCCATATAAACCTTCTCCAATTTGTCCCATGCTTGCTTAACAGTCATCATTTCTGTGATGTGGGACCTGACTGATTTTGTGAGATCATGGATAGCCCAGCCTAGGCGTGAGGCGAAGCCTCACGGTGCCTAAAATTTTAATCTATAACTTGGGAAAACAAATATAATTATAACTAAATCAAAGATAATATCATCTTCTTCATTACTAAGTCTAGTTGTACTTGGAAACTATGTCATATAGTCTTAAAATGTTGTAATTATTTATTTTATTGTAAGCAATTATAGAGAACTTCAAGAGAAATAAGGCTAGGTGGCCACAATTATAGGGAATTTTCAAGGAAAATAAAGGTTGAATGTCGCAATTATAGGCAATTCAAAAAGAAATAAAGGTTGAGTGGCGCAGTTATAGGGAATTTAAAATGAAATGAAGGATGAGTGGAGCAATTATAGGGAATCTAAACTGAAATAAAGGCTCAGTGGACCAATTATTAAAGGCAATTTAAAGGAAAATAAAGGCTAAGTGGAGCAGTTATAGGGAATTTGAAGAGAAATAAAACTTTGCTAATCAAAATGCTAGGTGGCGAAATTTGAATGGGCAACCATTAAAAAACAAAAAAAAGAAAATAGAAAAGAGTTAGACTTTGTCACATAGGATCTGAAGAGATAAACTCTCTCTTTCTTCTTCGTTGAAACTAGAACAGTCCCCTGCATTTTAGAAACAAACATGGATTTTAAAGGGAAACAAGGCCCAAGTTGAATGCCTGGGCGCACCTCAACCGCCTGGCGGGCCCTGACACCGACCCCCACAAGCCAAAGGAGAAACCCAGCCTCCAAGGCCGCTAGGCGCTCTCCGAGGCAAGTTTTTTAAGACACTAATCTCAATGGAACTCTTGGCCTTCTTGAGAGTCTTGGTCCATGTCACTTCTATCATGGTTGTAGGCTTCTCACCAAGGAGTGCATCATCCAACTCATGTTGTATCAATACGTTCTTCATCATCCTTTGCTAGTCCGTGAAGTCATCCTTGCCATTAAAAGGTTTTAACGCAGGCCTTAGCTTCCTAGGTTCACGAACTCCTTTCCTTTTGACATCGCATAAGACCTTGAACCAAGCTCTTGATACCTATTGTAAGATTTTCGACTCCCCTATGGAACTTGTTCTTTGATGTTTCTGCCAATGGACTAAACTTAGCAAATAGAGAATAACTAAAAACACAAAAGATATATCCCGTTGTGATTTTTTTGGGTAGAGAAATCACGGCTTCTTTGAATTAAAAATAGAGCGTATAGTGCTTTTGTAAACCCTAGAACTAATCCCTCTCACTTCTCTTGGCTCTCTGTTTTTTCTCTTTTTTTCTGCCCTTGCCACACCCTATTTATAAGTATAGGGTGCAGTTTACATGCCTGCTTTGGGATTAAGTTTCCTATTCTATTTATAAGTAAAGGGTACAATTACATTCCTGTTCCGTTTCTGCTTTTAGAATTCCTAATTTTCTAGCCTCTCCTTCTTGCTTGCTTAGCTCTTGTCTTACTGACTCTTCCTCTTTTCAGGTTCTGAGTGTTAACCGATAGATTTATCATTTGCCAATGAATTGACCGGATTCGAATAATGGGATTCTTGGCTAGAAGAAAGGTTCTGTGATATGGATGCCAACCGAACCCGGGCAGTCACCCACCTAATCTAATTGTACCAGAAAACTTAATGCTTTCCTAATCCTAGTAGGACAAGAATATGTGCACCTTTAGTTTTCCTAATACAATCTAAAACAAAATTGGACGCTAACATTGACGAGCCAATTCCTAACAATAAAAATATGACACACCAAGTAAAAATGATTTTGTGATCAGCCCATGTTTAAAAGTTGGGATTCCATTTCAGTAGCCCCTTATACTAGTTGCCAACAGCAATACTTTGCGAAGCACCATCAAGTGGGGATAAAGGAAAATGAAGTTACATTTAGCAGAAAAGTATAACCTCGAAACTTCAATCAGCAGTAATATAGGGGACAGCAATAAATCAAAGGACACAAGCTTTTTGTAAGCTGACCATCAGAAAGATACTGATTACATAATTGATCTGAGAATAAACCCAAATAAAACTAAGAAATTGCACTCATTCTCACGTCCAAACACCTCACTTCCCCTTTCAGGCACAAAGAAGGGGGGAAAAATAAGTGGAAGAATTTCTTTCATGTCTGCACAGCTCCTGCATATAGTACAAGAATCACCTAGCCCGCAACAAATGTATCACCAGGTAAAAGACATTCCAAAGGAAGTCGCATTCAACTCAAGTATAACCAATGGTTCAAATGGAAGTCACATTCAACTGAAGTTTAACCAATGGTTCAAAGAAATTCCAAAAGGGGAATGTGATTTGTCACTCCTTGCATTAGCTTTATAGTTGATATGTACTCACAAGCCAATTCTTTTCTGCAATTAATTTATATAGAAAACTGAATTTGTTTGTGGTTGGTTTCCATCTGTAATTTGGCGAGTCTAACATGATAATACTTAAGAGTCTATAGTGTAAGTCTGAGTTTTGGATTGAAAAGGACTTTAGTTCCTTTAAAGATTTTGGACAAAGGTTTACAAGCAACACTTATGCTGACATACACACTAGTGTCCAATATACTCTAGATCTCTGCCTATATTCTTGTCCTGACTCTCACCGAGTCTCTTCCTGGGTACCTTTTTTCTTAGCTTTCTCAGAAGAGGATCAACTAATTCCATAAAGCCATTATTATCATCACGGCAACTATTAGTATTGCCACATTTGTGGGTTTACTCCTCTTTACCAATTATTGATATCCAACTTATCTTCCATCCAATTTCAGAAGCACACAAACTATAGGAAGGTATGTAGAGACATACAAATAATAGGATTATAGGAGGAGCTCGCTTTCCATGCTTTTATATTTTGAAAAAACAGAAACTTTTTACAAACAGGGGACAAGGAGTCCACTTCTATACTAAACTAAAGTCAAAATAACACAGTTTTCATCGGTTGTCAGAGCTTTTGGTCTCCTTTTCTTCTAATCCATGAATTAAGCAAACCCAGAAACAAAGATTGCAAAAAGAAGACCCGATTCTCTGATCAAACCATGAATAGAATAAATTCGAGAGGATTCAGGATTACCCAAAATCTCACAAAGGGAGGAAACAAACCATAAACTTAACCAGTTTTGTAGCAAATATAGAAAACAAAAAACAGTGTAGCAAGAGAAATTCTCTCTATAAAATGTGTAGCAAATATTGAAAGCAAAAAACAGTGTAGCAAATATTGAAAGCAAAAAACAGTGTAGCCAAAAATAGACATATTCCTGCAATGTCTATAAGATTTTCGACTCCCCGATGGAACTTGTTCTTTGATGTTTACCCCAGTATACTAAACTTAGCAAATAGAGAGTAACTAGAAACACACAAGATTTATATTGGTTCGGCTGAACTTTTGCCTACATCCAACTGTGATTCCTCTGCCCAGAGAACGGTTCTTTAAATTAATAATAGAGCATACAGTGCTTTTTTAAACCCTAGAACTAATCCCTCTAACTTCTCTCGGCTGTCTCTCTGCTCTTTGCTCCTTGCTGCACCCTATTTATAAGCATAGGCTGCAGTTTACACTCCTATTTCGGATTAAATCTCCTAACCTATTTGGGATAGGAAAGTACACATATTCCTATTCCGTTTCTGCTTTTAGGATTCCTAATCTAATTGTACAAGAAAATTATTCTTTCCTAATCCTTGTACGACAAGAATCTGTGCACTTTTAGCTTTCCTGATACAATCCTAAACAAAAAAGGACTCCAACAAATGACGAACAAAATCCAAACAGTGGGAAATTAAGGATGTGAGGCCTTTTGATAGAGAGGAATGGTGAAGTCTGATGAGCACAAGTGTTAGCTCTTTTTGTCAAAATATTGGGAGTTTTACTCAAACTCCACTTTATTATGTAAGTTATAAATTCAACAGTAACCAAACAACATTATAACACTGTAAGTTGTTGTAGTATGATTACACTTTATCTGTTGGTTGACTCCTTTCTAGGGGAGGATATGTGCAACCGTATGTAAACTTCAAGCAGCTAGGTTGTAAATTCCAGCAATAGGGATTCTAAAGTGGAAAGATGGTAAGTATAATAAATGTGATAGGGTGTATTCAAACTCTGGACCTCCAAATAAATCAGTGGACTAACACAAATTAAATTAATTCAATATAAGTTCTTTTGGAAACCACCACCAACAATACGGATTCTAAAGTGGAATGATGGGAAGTATAATAAATGTGAAAGGGTGTATTCAAACTAAGTACCTCCAAGTAAATCAGTGGACTAACACAAACTAAATTAATTTGATGGCCAATAGATATAATTTCTTTTGGGAACCACCACCAACAGATAAGGAGACAATACGATTATTTTGTGCAAAGGAATACCTTCGTCGTTTCAAACATACACCGCAAGTCCCAACAGAAGCATCCGTTGTGGACCCAGATGGCAATGGGGAGATGGCATCAGCAATCAAGGTGCAGACATATTTACTTGCATTAACTGAAGAAGAATAGGTACCCTCATCCTCCATGTTCCTTTTTCTCTTTGAAGGTGTAACACAATGACCAGTTTCCAAGCTCATGTGGAGATTGTCTACACTTCCATTGACTGTAGAACCTGTCAACTCTAGCATCTTCAATTGTTCCTCACCAGGGTAATCCACATGTACCCTTGCAGGTGCATCACTGATCTCTTTCGTCATGGCATTATAGGATGATGGCAGTGGCTGTTGACCACAAATTTCTAAGCCATCACCATTTCCAAACTCAGAAGCTTCCTTCATGGAGCTAGGCCTTGGGCTTGAGCGGGACAAGTCCCCTCCCTGATGATTATCTTCCACTGTTTCTTTTGTAAATTTATTTACAGTGGAATCAGATTCCACTGCTTCAATGCCTTTACAGAGCCCATGAACTGTGCCTCCACAATCGTTGCCGCCTCCCTCAGAAACTTTATTCTGCCTGCTCTGCTCCTCGTTGTGACCTAATATTCAAGAAGATAAGAATGAGCCAAAAACGTATTGAATAATCAATACCACTGTTTAATACACAAACAAGAACGAAAAAGGAAACATGAACAATAAACTAATGACTATTGAGAGAAAAGCCAAAACAACTACCTTGTGCTTTAAACTTCTTTCTTTGTTTCATGAATAGTGCCTTATAAGCTCGAGCATTTCTTATCTTGTTTTTCACACGGCCAGATCCTACACTTTTGCTAACTTCTCTAGTTGCTTCTGTCAATTCTTTCACACTCTTCTCTTTTTGTTCCCCTTTCCGTTTCATAAATGATGAACCTGAGCTTTTCTCAGATTTTTTAGACCTAGAAGAATCTGATGAGTGATTCTTGACTCTATTAGAAATCCTCAATGGACTTGGAGTCAACTTCTTCTCAAATCTCTCAGATTTCCTCTTGGATGGAGGAGTTTCAGAACTTTTTTTCTCGAGTCTTTCAGACTTCCTAGTACTAGAAGGGCTCAATGTTATGTTTTTCTTCAACAATGTTTCTCTAGCAGACCTCCTTAATCCAGTTGTATCCAATGCTCCAGAACCTGAAGTGCTTGATCCTTTACTATTGATTTGCCTCCCTTTTGAATTACTATCCTCATCATCCTTCATTTTCAGACTAGATCGTGTATCATGTGCCATAATTTTAACTGTACATCAATAGAAGAATGTCAAGATATTTTAGAGTGAGGACATCTGCAAATCACAATAACCTGACATCAAACAGGAATAACTAACATCTACACCATCAAGCAGTAATTTAGGTTAGAGTGTAATACTCACTGAACATGAAGACACCACTGAAAATTCATCTTTATGTATGAGAAACACAATTTAAAAACAAAAAAAAAACAAAACAAAACAAAAAATAATGTGAGAGACTAATAACAGATAGTAAAGGTCGTACCCAGTGCACAAGGCTCCCGCTTTATGCAGGGTCTGGGAGAGATGAATGTCGGCTAGCCTTACCCCCATTTATGGAGAGGCTGCTCCCAAGTCTCGAACCCGAGACCTACCGCTCATGGGCGAAGGCACTTGTCATCGCACCAAGTGCGACCTCTTAATAACAGATAGTAATTAAAAAAAAAAAACAATAGATACTTTGAACCTCATTGGATAATTTAGACTACCCGAAAGGTCTACATTTATTACAATTTTAAATTTAGAATTGATGCCTGTCCCAACAAAATATTCCTTCAACCATGAATACTTGAATAAACACGAATGTTGGAGACTTCTAAAATGCTGATAAAATCTGTACCATAACTGCAAAATTGTGAGCACTTAATCTCTTCTTCCATCTCCTCCTCTCATAAACCCTACCTAACCCGTGATTTCATCAACCCAGCCTCCTACCAGTTTCTATACCAACCATTCATTTTACTATCGCAATTACCTAACAGGCTAACATGCAATGACGGTATCTCTGCTGCAATTTCAATCAGTTCAGACACCAGTGGAGAAAGTAGCAGCTTGTTGCCAGTCCCTTAAGCTACACAATACATAAAGCTATCAATGCGTCTTGAACTGAAATTGAAAGCACTTCAGAAAGGCTGATCACAACTACTTAAGCAAAAGCACGCACTCCTGCACTATGGCAGTCCCTTAAGCTAGGCAATACATAAAGCTGACAATGTGCCTTGAACCGAAATAGAAAGCACTTCCCAAAGGCTGATCACAGCTACTTATGCAAAAACACCCATTCACGTGACATGTGACCGTATGGTATGCAGACGGGAAGGGACAGAACAGAATGGGACAGGACGGGACAGAACGGAAAGAGAGCAAAGATGCCTTCGGATGGAAACAAGAGGAAGAAGAAGGAGACGAAGAGGTTATAATTTTGTGTTCCACGGATGTGGAACGGGTCATTCTGGGGGTGAGGCGAAACGAAAATTCACCCAAAACTCGTAACAACGAGTTCCACCTGTTTTAGGCGCACCAAACGTGGGACAGGACGGGACGGAATGGCTCGTCACAGGATGGGACGAAACGAGACGAGTTGTTCCGTCCCACGTTTGGTGCGCCTAAAAACTGTGGAACGGGTTGTCCCATAGGATGAAATTTGGTTGATTTTTCATTCCACCTCTTCCCCTGGAACGACCCGTTCCACATCCGTAGAACACAAATTTATAACATCCTTATCTTTTTCAATATTTACATCATCCGTTCCATCCTGTTCCGTCCCATCCCATCCTATTCCGTCCCGTCTGCGTACCAAACGGTACCTATATTCACACCCAAATCACACCAATCTTATGTGTGAACCAAGCACATCAATCCTCCACTTGCTATCGCTTTTTGAAATCATAAATAATAGAAAGTAAAAGAAGCTGATTCTGATCCTAATCGTACAATGCCGTAGCTCATGACCCTATAAACCCTAATCGCCTGCCAAAAATTACACCAACCCAGAAATTCCCCACCCTTAACACCTTGATTTTCCATTCCAAATGATATAATCCAAACCAAAACCCCAAACACTAACAATAACAATTTCAGGTCCGATTTCACTGAAAAAATAATGAATAAATTTAGCAAAAGTTCCACAAAAATTAGAACAATATCGAGAAACTTGGACTAACCTGCATGCAAGTCTTAGTCCTTTAATTTTTTTTTCCAGGATGATTAGAGAATGCTCGGGCTTTTACTTCGGTCCTCGCACGGAAATCATGGGGCTGCAAGAAATTTTCCGAGGAAAATTAGGGACGCAAAGGGCAGGAGAAATGCTGAGCCGGTGAAATTTTTGTTGCGTTTTTTGAGATTCTCTTGCTACAGTGTGATAGTGCCTGCTTCCTTGTGGGGGACGAAAACGTCATTTTGATTTCTTTTCGTTTTATGACAAGTTTGCCCTTCCCATATGCAAACGGGCAAATGCCATCCCTTTTTTAATTAAGCTTTTTAGCTAAAATGATCCCTCAGATCATAACTCTTCACTTTGGTCCTTGAGATTTCAAATCAATAGAAGTGGTCCCTGAGGTTGTCCATCATTCATCATTTTGGTTCTTCCGTTAAAAACTCCGTTAAGTATCTCGGAACTCTTGCCCAGAAGTTTGAGCAATTTTCAAAACTTCGTAACTCAATAATTTCCTAATCAAATTCGACCCATAATATATCAAAATGAAGATAGGAAAGTGTAGAATAAGATTATACCTATTTGAAAGCCTAATGGTTTCCAGAGATGGTTGGAAAATAGTCTCAAAGTTTACTGGTCTGAAGGAAAACTAGAAAACTCGCCGAAAACTGGGTAAACTTTAAACATTCATAACTTCTTCAACACTCAACGAAATCAAGTGATTCAAAAACAAAAATAATACTTCTCGATAATATGAAGAGAATGGTGCCATTTTTAGCGGATAAATCGCCTTGGTTTGGCCGAAAAATGGCTCGAAAGTGGCTGTCTTGATCTCGAGTTAGCCACTATCGAGCAGTTTTCGACCAAACCACGATGCGTTAGCAGTAAAAAAATGTACAATTATCTTCATCTGATTGAGAAGTATGATTTTTTATTTTGAATCACTTGATTTCGTTGAGTATTGAAGAAGTTATAAATATTTAAAGTTTACCCAGTTTCAGGCTAGTTTTCCAGTTTTCCAGTTTTCCCTCGGACCAGTCAACTTTGAGGCTATTTTCCAACCATCTCTGACAATCATTGGGCTTCCAAATAGGTATAATCTTATTCTACACTTTCCTATCTTCATTTTGATGTATTATGGGTCGAATTTGGTTAAGAAACGATTGAGTTACGAAACTTTGAAAATTGCCCAAATTTCCGGTTAAGAGTTCCACTTAATGGAGTTTTTAACGGAATGACCAAAATGATGGATGGTGGAAAATCTCAGGGACCACTTCTATTAATTTGAAATCTCATAGACCGAAGTGAGGAGTTATGCAAATTTTAAGGACCATTTTGGCTAAAAAGCCTTTTAATTACAAGGGTTCAATTTGTTTTAGTACAAAGGTTGCAATTTTTTAAAATAAATAAAGAAAATAAAAACAAATTAAAAGTTTGGTATTATTATACACATTTTTCTTCAATATTACGTATAATTAAATGATATAAAAATGGAGTTTTAATAAAACACTCACAGCACTATTCATTTTTAACGAAAAATCACATTTTAACCTTTAATTGGCACTATTCACTATACCTTTAAAAAGGGCTTTTCGTTAAAAGAGAAGTTTTATTTAACTTTTCGTTAGTTTTCCTTATAAAAAATGAATAATTGAGATTAATAAAAGAAAATTTAGACGGTTGTGAAAATCAAATCTAACAGCTAACTCACTCATATGATTAACTGATAGTTTATCTGATTCCTAGAGTAGCTGAAGTTTGAAAAGATTCTTGTATGCATGGTAAGCAATGTATGAACTTTGTGTGAAACACATCTTAAAATTCATTTGTGAGTGTTCGTGTACAAGTAATTTTTATTTTTTATAAAAAAATTTGACCTTACAAATAAATTTGAAATTTTATGATATGAAAAAGAAAAAAAAAAGTTTCATGAATTGTTATGTTTGGATTAGGATTTTCAAATTTTCATGAAACTTAGCTTCCTGGAACTTTGTAGTGTTCGAGCAGTAGTTTTCAAATGAATATTAAACTTCTTGGAAATTTGAAAGGTTTCAAATTTAGTTACAAGGAATATAAATTAGAATTATTTTGATTCTTCAGTTTTAATGTTCCTTAAAATATGGGTATGAAAATTATTTCATTGCTTAACTTTCTCATGTTTACTAAAATATGAGTAAATGAATCATTTCACTTCTTAACTTTCTTTCTCTATATTTACTAACACGTGATAAAAAAATAAATCAACTAGTTGATACGATTCCCTTTCCTCTCCTCTTTCTAATAAGAGAAGAGAATCCTCAACATGTTTTCTCTAGTACAAGACTATACAAAGAGCTCTGTTTACAGGCATTGACAAAAATTTAATGGCTCGGATTGTGCCACGTATGAGCTTTATGTTTTAGCTATCAAGATGTTCAATTGGTCACCAAATAGAAATTTGACAAACCAACCAGAACCCTTTAACATTAAAAGCCACCACTAAGTTAGCCTCGACACCGTTTTACACTTAAGATTCTAATGCGTCAAAGCTTTGGCAAAAGATAAAAGAGTACAAATTACATAATTTATATTTTACCCTACATTCATTAGATCGAAAGACATTTGATAATAATACGCATATACAAACTCCTAGCATCTACGTCAACATTAGAACTACCTATGCTAATACCATGTCACACCCTCGCTCCATAACCCATAGCAACAAGAACACATGGTGAAACTACATTAGTTAGATCCCATAACTCGTATTTTGTAACTGCTTAGTCATTGTCCGATAAACAAACTACGTCAGTGTGTCCAACAGTATATAGCTCCACCCTCAACTTAAACTTTTGAGATGGTATTTTAGCAAGTTCGATATATAACTTAATCAATTTTTGCCAAAAGATTTCAGTTTAAGCCTTAAGTGTAAAAACTCATCCCTTATTTTACGGCTTTATTAATTTTAAAAGAGTGAATTGATGAAAATGCCACTAGAGGTGAGATTGTTGACTTTTGTTGACAGTCATTTCATGACGCTTATGGGCTACTATTTTACCATATTTGTATAGTCCTCATTTCTACGAACGCGTGGGTGCAAGCAAAATCGAAATCAAAGTTACAGTTAAAATTTTACGAAGCATCGAATATCGAGGGCAAATAGGTAATTTCATTTGGAAAGATATTGTGTGTTGTTTTGTGAGCCAATAGGGCCCATGCCTATTCCTCCCGTGTCCCAATTTCTTTGGGTTCCCACTCATTTTCTGCCACGTCACCTTAATCCCTTCTCTCTCAAACTCTCCCTCATCTCTTTTCCCTCTCGTCTCTCTCCCTCTGTTAGCTATTTTTCCATCTCAGATGCATGCCAAGATTAAGCCCAATAACCATCACCTCGCCCACTCCAGCTAGTCTCAACCACTAGCCTCGAAGTTGGTCACCACCATCACTTCACCTAACATGCTCAGGACACTAGGTTGATGGATTCAAACTGCGCAGTGGCCATTGCCACTATTCATTGTCTTCTCTAGCGAACTTTTGCTAATGCCGACCTAGGTAAGCCTTGGAAATACTATAAACCTTATCCTTTTGTCCTCGTGATTCCATTATGAGTATGTTTGTGTGTTTTGGACGATGGAGTATTACAAAAAGGGCGAGGGGAGACTTCTCTAGTTTTTTGGAGAGAACCGTGATTTTTGCAAGCTTTTTTCAACTAACTCCGGCCATAGCTAGAGCCCAAATGAGTATATTTTGAATCTCTATCTCTCTAGCTTCATTTTGACTTCTTTTTTTCATGAAAATTGTTGAGTTTTGAACCTGTTATAGACCTTTGAAGTTTTCCGGTCTTCTCCGTGAATTTCTGGCCTTCTTCTTTGTTGGCCCAGCCAATGCATCCCGCGAATCCAAATGGATCGACCCGACCCAATACCCAAAAAAAACCTGGATCTGAACCGGCCGACCCAAACCCATTTAGGAATCTGGCAGTAATATTCTGTTAACTTCTAGTTAACTTTAACATAATATTTCATCTGAGGATAGAATATTCTATTAAAGTTCATTGTAGATTGTTAGTTGACTTTTTCGAAATTTTCTCAGAAACCCTCCTAGGCTAATCTCGATGCCCTAAGCCATTTTTAGCGTCCATTTAGTGAAATTTTAATGTTTTAACGTAGTTGACCGCCTCGGCGGCTCGGTTGACTTTTTGGTTGACCATTGACTTTTTACGGAAATTGCCCAGAACCCTTCTTAGGGTATTTCGAAGCACTGAATCCGAATCCGCCTTCTATTTTTCCAAATTGAAACGTTTAAATTGAGTTTTACTAATGGGTCTCTATTATGCTTAGGTACGATTAGCATCGGCAATTAGTATTTACTAGTTCAAACGACTACGACTTCGCAAGTATATGTGAATCAGCCTTTTATTTTATATAGTATATATATTTATTTAGTTTCCATACATATTAATAATGCATTTTCTATGTGATGCCATAATTAAATTAACGTTTATAAGAAATGTTGTAATGTTGGGAAATCATGAAATAATCTTACGGGATGCACAGGTAAGCATACTATAAAGGGATAGACTTACGACTATGAATAGTATTATGTTGACTAGAATTATTGAATTTCTATGGCATAACCATATTTACCTTATCTGCTCATCATGTGCTACACTGGTGTTTGTACTCGCCCAAGCCAAGGCCAGTCTTCACATGTATGTTCACATCGCACCGTACGCTCACTTTGGATCCATTATAGGTGCCAATCCTGTCCTAGATTGCTATAGACAATTAGGACTCATATGTGATGCACATAGCACCAGTCTTCACGTGAATGTAGTACTAGAGCATAAATCATTATTATACCCAGTCTTGTTCATGTCAGAATATCTTTACATGAACTCATGTGTCAGTATATGTCGATGAGCACTCGATATGATATGTTCGTTATGTGAGATATTGTGATTACCGAATGCTGCATGTTATATATGTGGAAATGTTGGGAAATGTTGCATTTTCAAGATATTACCGTTTATGGTAAGTGTTTTCTTACTATATGTAGTATATTATGTTTGAAAACTATACTTGTTTTACAACGAAGGGTTATTACGTTTTCGAAAAGGTTTTTAAAAAATTTTATTTTCAAACCTACTCACCCTTGTTTTTCACCCCTCTAAGTTTTAGTGGCAAAGCTTCTGTGTCGACAAGGATTATTGGTAAATGTTGGTATAGGAGAGTACCTTTGATGG